TGTTACAATGTGTTAGAAGCCTTGTATTAAATTTTCAAGATTTTCTACCGAACAAATAAATTTTTATAGATATTTATAGAAAAAATAACTAAACAAATTGAAAAATTAACATGTTAGTAAACAGCTCAAAACAAATCTATAAAAAGATTTTGTATTTTAAAATGTATTATATATTATTGAGTATTTTAATATTCTTGAAGTCGATTGGAAATAACAATAATTATAGAATATGAACCTCCTTTTTCTTCACAATACTTAGGTGAGGATGAGTCTCACTTGTCTCCCTTGACGAGCCGCCACTGGGTAGTAACAGGAAATAATAGTTAGATGTTAATGCAATTTTTTCAAAATAATCTTTGAATAGTAACTATAAAGCATGGTGAGCATTTATTTGCTTCTAGTATTATACTTGCTTTATCAATTTTGTGGTTATAGAGGTGTTGTCATTGTCATCGATGTCGGTGACAATGGTCGTTGGGCCGGGTTGGTTGAACAAACCTCTAAGCGATGACTGATTGGTGACCGTCCACGTATTGTTGCACCGTCAGTTTTGGTAGGTGCGGTCTCCGAGAACAAGTGTCCGTAGCCCATAGTAATCAATCGATGTTCGTAAAGTCTGTAAAAATAACACGGATACACGCGTCGGACGGCTTCCGTGAACGTCTCCAACCGGTCAGTGAGCAGCGTGGCGCTCGCAAAAATGGCCGCTGCCGTAGCCAAGTGACCRTCTTCCAGTGACTGTTCACCGGCGCGCACCGACTGCACAAATAGGCCTGCCAGCCATTTTCGGACGTTAGTTTTGCTGGGTGTCAACGTCTGCCGCTCCCAAAGCCCGTTCTGTACCATGAACCTATCGCTACCGTCATTGTTGTAGGTCATCGTCGTGGATCTGTGTTTCGTATTATATTGATTATTCTTTTTTCGTCGCTCTATTTMTCCGCAGCTATTTAAAGTAAATATTCCCGTGAAGTCATAGATACCTARTCTAATTAACGAACAACGAATAGCTATAATGTAGTCATTAGGTATGGAGGCGATTTTTGATTTTCGTTTAAGTCGTTTGTTATTGTTGCTAAGCTATAGCCGTCAATATATAAAGCATTTAATCTCTAATTATATCAGACCTCGTATTAGTCTTGGATTTTTTTATACTGACCWGCAATTTATTGTACTAGCTGAATTATCCGGCTTTGCACGTGTGTAGTTTTTGCTTTCTCAAAATGAAATTGTTAAATCAACACCCATTGTATTTTAAAGAAAAAAATAGTTATTTTACTGAATGCTATCAATTGCTAAATAGTAATAGTAGTTGAATTATAAATAAAACAAAAATAAAATATAATATAAATATTTACAAATGATTCTATTACGCATATCGATAAGAAATGTTTTATTATTTTTAGATAACGCAATTCGTATAATTATTGAGCTATATAGTCGGTGTTTTCTATACAACTCATAAAATATATAGCCTTGGAACAATTCATATCTAAACGCCAATAAAATACACACACAAAAAAAAGGTCATAGTACAGGTAGATCCTTGGGCCGCCGTGCCGTACCGTATTTCCCRTTGTCGGTCGGACTACTATTGTTATGACTATATGACTGGTATAAATATACTAATTACACGTAAAAATTCATTTTTGCCAATTTCAACCCTTTAAATCAAAATTTTGAAAATCGGGCAATGTGGTGACACTCAGGAAGGCATGTGAAACAATTGTGAAAAAAAAATGGAAAAAAATTAAATAGCGTAGTCACAAAAATGGTACATAAAAAAAGCATGTTTTTTATGTATATAAGGATGATCTACTTTATATAGATCTAATCACTTCCAGTTCTGTGGAAAATAATATTTAAAAAAAAAATTATAATTTTCATATTGTATATTATTAAATGTTGAATTAAAGTTATACTTAAAAATATGTGTAGTTTAGGGAAAAAAGTATTTGGAAATGTATGATCAAAAATATATGAATATATATTTAAATTAAATGCATTCCAATTATTAGATTAACAAGAATATAAAATATAAGTTCTATTTCTTAGTAGATGATTCACATATTATTCAATTATTTGACTCTTTGGTTATTATTTAAAACACAATTAAATTGGTTATAAAATTAGTACATTACTTATTGATTTTGTTTTTAGTTTATTAATCCACGGAATGGCATGATGTCATTGGAAGACTACAACGTGAAGTTGCCAAAGTTTGCTTATGCAATATTAATCCTAGACAAACATATGCTTGAAGATGATCGTTGTGTAAGTGGAACTATTAAAAAAATTAATACTGGTTAATAATTGATAAATAGTAAAATTATTTGATGTTTTTATTTATTAGATTTCAATAGTACCTTCATGTACAAACGTGCACACAATTATGAATGAATACGTAGCTGAAAATAGCACTAGGTTAGTATAAAAACTATTAACTACTATGATGTTGTATAATTATTTTTAAAAATAATAATTAAATACTTACTATATTTCAGTCGGCAGGATATGGCTAAGATCATGCTAGAAGCATTTAACCGTTCGTTGTATTTGTGGTTGTTACATCCACTTGAAAGGCCTAAACATAATGATGTAAGTTAATTGGTTTTTATTTATTTATTTTAACCTTAAAAATAAAATACATAATTGGTAGAAAATAGAATGTTTAGATTGCAATTTTTAATGAAACAATGACAAAGCATTATCATGGAATTATTTGTTTTTTACATAAMATAAAACCTTAATAGTATTTATTAATGTTACCAAGTTTAAGTTTTAGACAATGGTAAGGTTTAAGCTAATTATACTTAAGTGCCTTTAGAATTTTTTAAAACTTTTTATGATTATTCTCTATAGTGACTCTATAGTATTAAAAAATTTGAAAAGTTTCTTTATACAAAAATTATTAAGAAGCATAATATACAAGTTATTACATTTTYGCCAATTGTTAAAATTACCATTTTTCATAAATGGTAAAATTTTCAAACTATTTTGATTCTTTTTGAGCTATTTAGCTCTGATTATTTTTCTAATATTATTAGTTATTTTTGGTTAGAAATTCATAAATGTTTTTTCTTTTCATATCTAATATTAAAAACAGTAATAGATTAGTAAAACAGTAAATGATTTTCAACATGTTTTTTGTTAAAAAAAAAAGAAAAAGAAAAGAATGTTCACCGGAAAGTTACGCTAGTGTAGCCATGAGAAATTTTAGATTTTCATCAACTTTTTGTTATTATTTGATTTTCTTATTAGCTATGCTAGTATGCTAAGATAATACAAGGTCTCAGCTCATAATAATTTGTTATATAGAATGATTCATCATTGAATTCAAATAAAACACATCCATCACAACGACATACTAATATACTAGACAACTGCTGTCTAGCACAGTGGTACTCATTTGTCCTCCTTTTTACGTATCAATTTGTATTGGTTTTAATACATTTGTGCATGTTATACTTTTTATGTGGGTGGTATTGGAAAATGTTTTGTGTTATATCTGGTCATGTTTGTGTAGTAATAAAAATTATTTGTACTACTTCACACACTTATGCAAATTATTTATTTATCGAATAATAACTAAAACAACACAACAATTAATTAATAACATTTAAATTGATTAAGTAGTAAATTTGATGACTTGAAGTCCACTAAGTTTTAAAACTAATTTCATCCATTGTTGCAGGTTATACTTACCAATGTTGGTAAATCCATGTGCCATATCTATGGACTTCCTCACTTTCTCCGATTTGTCAGTAAGTATACATTCTAAAATCAAATCCTTATTCTATGGCCAGATTTTTTTTTATTAATTTATGTAAAAAAAATATCTTTACAGTGAAACTGCCCAAATTTTTCCACATGGTGAAGGACAAAATGAATAATTTTGTACCTGATGCTGTTGAATTTATTAAAGGATTTCTTAGGTAAAGTATTTTATATTTACCCGAACTTAAATTAACGAATTACATTTATATTAAAAAGTAATCGGATACACTGTAATTCAAATTTTAAGGTAACACCCAATTTGTGAGTGGAACCTTTAATAAATTACAATAGTAAAATAAAATTATCTTTTATATAAATAAAATGAGTGTAAAATATTAAATATTTTACTTTTTAATATACCTAATACAAGTATAAAAACATGAAATTTTAACAGGGGCTTATGTTTGTTGTTAGATAATTTCTAAATTACATATCTAATATGTGTAATTAATTATTGCTATTTTTTTTTTTTTAGTTTTATAGAGCAAAAATATGAGCATATCTATATGATGAATTATGATTGTATAATGCCCTATGAATATAGAAAGGCATACTATGTGTAACTTTTCCCCTCTTGGAATGATACAGTCTGTCGCAACTAATTGTTGTTCATTACACATACTTAGATAATAGTTTATTACTCTGTACAATTTTTTTTATACATACAATGTAATTTATTTACCTTTTTTTACCTTAATTTTATTACTTAATATTATTTGTCAAGTATAAAATAGGTTACTCTTTTGATATATATATTTAAATTAATATTTATTGTTTCCAATAAAAGCATTTTTTCTATTGTAATAAATACAATGGCTTTATAAGTATAGTACTCATATACCTTTGATTATTATTAACAGTAAAATCAATTGCACAAACTTTTTCGATGGTTTTTTCTTTTTTTTTWAATTTAATTTGGAGTATTAGTGATATTTAAATTAGAAATATTATTTGTCTACATGTTAACTAAGATATATTTGAGTAAAATTATTTGAATGTTTATTTCATGTACGACATATATCTCATTATTTTTTTAAAACATATTGTATCTTGAATTTATCTGTTAAGAAACCAGTTAGTTTGTAAGTTGATTATTTATGATAAAATATTTTTSACTATTCTGTTCTAATTTAATTTAATTTACTATATTGTAAATGAACCTATATCAAATATTATATTCTTGATAAATTTATTGTACCCAACTATTATATGACTTGTGTGTAAGTGTACAAATGTACACCCAGTTAAGAGACTGATATTGTTTTATTTTATTAAAATGTATTTCTTATTATGAAAGTATTCAGTAATTGTATTCGACTAAATGTAAATTTATTTATTTAAAAATTGACATTGTTTACCAATTAAATAAATATGTTATTATCCATGTGTAATTATTGTAAGCGTGATTCATGTTAATATTATACTTAACAGTTATGTGTTATTTGGGGCTGTGTAATATTCTGAAATTTATGATGCATTTGAATATTGATCAATGTTTTTTAATTTGTAAATTACGGAGAATCTTACTATCTTTAAAAATTGATACAACAAGGGATAACTGATCACCACTCATTTTCTTTTGTATGGTGTTGCACCCAAATAATGTACTGGTGTTGTTATATGATGTGTTCAAAATCAAGAATAAAAATTTAAATAAAAGACAAGGTTTTGAAATGTGTATTTTATAAAGAAATCAAAACCATGTTTTTTCATGAAGAGATTCATTACATTTTCAATAGATATCAATTGTCTTGTAAATAATACTTGAAAACTTGATTCTTGAAATCACAAAAATKCCGTTCTCTAAAAGCCGTAATTCATACTGATCTTGGGTTTTAAAAATAATAATTACAGATATAAATTATCTTAAACCGTGTTATTAAATCACAGAATTGACATACGGTATAACAAAAGTATAAATACCTTCTTTGTGGTTTTTATTGTAGTAACATTTAAGCATCTTAATTATACTTAAGACAATAATATTATTGAAGGATTATTTAAATGAAGTATTTATTTGAAAGGTGCGAGTTTTTTTAATTTAGATTTCAATGTTTAAAATTATTGGGATGGAAAAATTGACATAAAATTGGAATAATAGACAGAAATTGAGTGGGCTAAAAAAATACAGAGAAATTAGTCCCTATTAAATATACTACATTGCCACTGGTCACTTCCATAATTAATAAATATAAAGTTATTTTAATTTGTATAGTTGGGAGGAAAATGAAATAAGAAAAAAAACAAATCGTGGTTTAATAAAGCTTCTGCCATAGAGCATAATTGAATCAACAATCAATAATTACTTATCAATTAATCTAGGGTGATTCATGAGGTGTAAAACACTCATTATTTATAAAAACTATTTACTTTTTTCAAATTTTTTTTTCTTCAAAATTTTAGATACATGCTGTTATATATATATATATATATATATATAATGGCCCCTTTTCCGAGACTGAAACCTTCAAAGTCAACATTCAGCGTTCGCAGCATCATAATCTATCCAACAATATCATTGTCCATCAACATCATCTTCGTACTAGCACTGGTCTAGACATACACATCTACGTAGTAAGTAGACCAAATTACTTATTCTATCCCCCTCAATCTTGATCAAGAGGCATAGTTATCTGAGGGGTGAAGCTGTAGGATCTTGCACCGGATGCGAAGTGCAACCCAAGAAGTGCCGAAGCCAAACGGTCCACCCAACCATGTGTCGTGGAAACCTAACCAATGATAACGGCGTCAAACGCCAATCCAATCCACCTCTAATAATCATCAATAAAAGTCGAAATCAGACATCAAACATTCTTCCACCTCCTTACACGCCGCACTCCAAACTATTATCAAAAATAAATTTAGTCATCAAGCCGATTTAAAGTATATCATCGGTCGAAAAAGCCGTAAAATAATTCAATTCACCACTTCCGTCTTCCATAAATTCTAAGTCTTCAACACCAAACGTCTACAACCAAGCTGCAAACACCATGCAGACAAACTTTGCATAACAATCAAAACCCTTATCTTCTACAAGCCAGAAGGAAATTRAAACTCTAGTCAATATAATTGAAGACGATTACCGTCATTCATCAGATTATTCAAGCAAAGATGACAACCAATTTAATCATTCTAATTTTACCCAGGTATAGAAAAACATTCCAAAAATCCCATCAATAACTCTCAAAGGCTGAGTTTGGAGAAAAGTGGCGGGAAAACTTATGGCTAATATTCCAGAAAACTCAATTGAAGCAAAATTCTTTGTCATTGATTCCATAAAAATTTAGTGTTTTGAAATTGAACTATTTTGAATAGTCCAAAAATATTTTACTACATCGAACACAGAATACCATACATATAGCTTCTCTGACTAAAGAACATTAAAAATAGTTATAAAAAATCTTCTTGGGGAAATCACCGACACTGAAGTTATAAATAACTGATCAATCTAGGGTACACAGTAACCAATGTGAAATAATTTCACAAAAACTTCTCATTCAGATGGTTGTTTAAAAAACAGTAGAAAACAATGGGATCTTCAACCTTCGTTTACTGCTTTTCATGATATTTGAAAATAATTAAAATCAATATAATTGAAAGATATAAATYAAACACACCAGTACAATACTACAATTGCCAACAATTCAGCCACTTAAACTTACAAGGCTTACACTTTTCTGAGGTTTATTAAATGTGCTGGCCAACAGTTTTCCTTATGAAAACTCCTGAAGAAAAACTAAARTTCACAAATTGCGTTGGAAGCCACACAGAAAATTTCAGGAAATAGCCAGCTATTATGCAAGAGGTACTGAAAAGAGAAGTCCACTCAGACTGAAAATACTAGGTCAAATCTATCATAAGAATCAAATTGAATCGAATCTAACTTACCAGAATCAACTAACCTCGCCTTCATTCAATCAAACATAAACYACGCTGCTTGTACTAAATCTAAAGACATCAATTCGATTTTCAGCCATCCTTAGTAGTGCACATTTAAACTCAAATGCATCAACATAATACCATCTTATTAAACTGGAACGCCAACGGACTAAAAAATAAAAGAAACACTACTAGCCTTTCTTACTCGTCATAACTAGGGAACGGATTTTATTATAATGAAAAAATTAAAATATGTACTTATTTTTATTGAAATATGTAAAAAAAAAATTAAAATTTGTAATAACCGCTTAACAGAAAAAATAAATATTAAAAGTAATTATAAAAATCTTATCTCTTATCTAATTATTAAAACAGTACCTACGAAACTACATATTCTCTAAGATTTAAAAATGTTTAATAGCAGCGATTTGGTGGTAAAATATTTTTGTATTGACTGAATGAATGTTCCATATCAACTGACGTAATGATAGTATACTTCATATTAACTACATCAAGTAGTGATGTGAAGTTGGCACCACATCTTTGAGCTACAAACCTCCAACCTCAGCAAATATTTTGCAAATTATTTGCTAAAATTTGCTAAACAATTTTTAAAATTTCATACTCACTCAATCCACGCAAAAAACATTTTYCTCTTAGTGGTGCCAATTTCACGCTGGCACCACAACTTTGTGCTACAAATCTCCAATGGTTAGATCCACCCATGCTCCAACCTCATCAAATATTTTGCTAAAATTTACTACTACTAAATTAAACATACTAATTAAAAATATTTTAAATATAAATTTAAAATTTAAATAGGTTAATCTATAAAATTAGATAAAATTCAACCTAAATTATACATAGGTTTATATGTCTTTTTGACAGTTACAAAATATTAAACAAAATTATTATAACTATGTCTTTAAATCGATAAATATCATATCAATTTCTAATAAACTTAAAATTAAAACACAAGTTACTGTTTTTTATAACATAATAATTTTAAAAATCTTACGTCTGTAAAATATAAATTACAATAGTCAATATTATAATAATAGAAATATAGTAAAAAAGTAACAATAACAATAAACACTTTCAAGATTTTGGACCTTTAAAATCAGAAACATTTCAATTTGGAAATTGTTTTTTTTTTATTATTATTTATGAATTAAAATAAGTAAATCATTTTATAAAAATTAACATATTACAAACAATTTTAATTTTATAATTAATTTTGAATGTAAACAAGAAGATGAGGGCATATTTCTAATTTATAAAAGTTTTTAATTACAATGATTTTCTTAAATAGATCATTATGCATTTTCCACTTGTTATTTGATCGTCTAATGTATGYAACGTAATGATTTGCATTATAACCAACAGCACCATAAAATGTATAACTGAAAAACCAATTACACTTTAAATAATAATGATAATAATTTTAAATAATTTTAAATATTACATAAGTAGGATATAAAAGAGAGTTCAAACACCGCATCCCGCTGACCCCGCTGACCCCGCAGACCCTGATCCTCCTGATACCTGATCCCACCGCCACCACCCGCCACCGCCGCCGCCGCCGGTCACGTACGTACGTGACGTATATCCTCGCCCTACCGCCCGACCTCCTGATACCTGATCCCACCGCCACCAACCGCCACTGACGCCGCATCCCGCATCCCGCATCCCGCATCCCACCTCCCACCTCCCGCATTCCGCATCCCGCCTCCCGCGTACGTGCGAGACATATATTACCGTTATCATTTATTATGTTATCACACCTTATCATATTATTGTTATCAGCGACCGAAATTTTCTCAGATAGCGACATTAGTGCGATTATCGAGAGAGCGTACATGAAGTTGTTGAAGGAGGAAGAAACTTATACTAGTASAGGAAGCGGGTTTACCTTAGAAAGTATAGACGGGTTATTGTTGGYGGTATATAAATATA